TAATTGGCAAATAGCTGGGAAAAGTTGGTTATGGGTCACTGAAGGACAGGGATCAGGTCGCTGTCCTCGTGCAGCTGCCTCCAGCCCTGCTCAGAACATCCCCCCACAGCAAAGGGGGAGCCCCAGGGTGGGCTGAATCCTCACTGGATTTGTCTGTCCCTGGCACTCTGTGGCACTCTGTCTTTCCTGTCCCACCCCAGGCAGGTGTGCAGGCTGGGGCTGGGGGTGTTGTCCACTCTTCCACTTTTATGCTCATGTTCCTGTGGCTGCCAGGGCTTCTCTCTCCCTTTCCAAGCTTGCCGTGCCCTGTCAGTCCTGTGTGTTTCCTGGAATGTCCCCTGCACTTCCAGGGTGCCACTGCCCTGCAGAGCTGGCACAGCTGCTCTGGGGGCAGGATTTGATTGTGTCTGGAAGGTTCTGGAGAGCCACAGTGCAGCTCCAAGCTTGGCTTTCAAGAGTCACATGGGGCAGGTGTGCAACCTGCTGAAAGCCTCTCCTGATCTTTCTGATCTCAGAAACAGGCTGGGAGAGCTGGGGGTGCTCACCTGGAGAGGAGAAGGCTCCAGGGAGAGCTCAGAGCCCCTGCCAGGGCCTGAAGGGGCTCCAGGAGAGCTGGAGAGGGACTTGGGACAAAGGATGGAGGGACAGGACACAGGGAATGGCTCCCACTGCCAGAGGGCAGGGATGGATGGGAAATTGGGAAGGAATTGTTCCCTGTGAGGGTGGAGAGGCCCTGGCACAGCTGTGGCTGCCCCTGGATCCCTGGCAGTGCCCAAGGCCAGGCTGGACACTGGGCCCTGGAGCAGCCTGGGATGGTGGAAGGTGTCCCTGGCCATGGCGGGGTAAGATTGGAATTGGGCTTTAAGGTCCCTTCCATCCAAATCATTCTGGGATCCTGAGAAAAGCTGCACTGGTTCAGTGGTTTTGGTAAAAGCTGTTGAGTTGAATCACTCTGAGCTGCTGCAGAAATGGTTGTACTGAGCTCTAAAGAGGGTTTAGGATCAAGCCTAGTCTCGTTCAGGAGGAGATGGCTGGTTGCTCTTATTGGTCAACAGCCTGCAAGTGTCACCCAATTTATTGCAGGGGTTTGAGGCAACCCTTGGTTCTGGGAAGCCAAAACTCCCTTGGAAAATCTGGGATTTCCAGCGTGAGCCGCTCCCTGAGCTGCCCCTGGGAAGCAGCAGCATCCGCGGGGTGCCTCGTCCCTTCCAGGAGCCGGGCTCAGCAGCGAGCGAGGCACCGCTGCCATCTGCTGTCCCCGGGCTGCGCTGCCGCCGGCCCGGCACGGCTCGGCACGGCCACACGGCCAAGGGGAAGCGAGCACCGGGCTGGGAAGGGGCTCAGCTGGAAGAGGAGCTCAGGGGACCCTGCGCCTCGGCACCATTCCCTGGCAGGGCGCAGCCGGGGCTCGGGCTCTGCCCCAGAGCAGGATGAGAGGAGAGCAAGCGGCGCCGGGGGAGGCTCAGGTTGGACACCGGGAGGAATTTCAGGCGTTGGAATGAGCTGCCCAGGGGTGTCTGGAGTCCCCATCCCTGGACACGTCCAAGGAATTGCTGGATGTGGCACAGGCTGGGTTCGATGGTCCCGGAGCTCTTTCGGCAGCTCGGTGATGCCGTGTGAATCCCGGGGGAGCTCAGCTGTGCCCGGCAGTGCCCCCGGGCCCGGAGCTGCGCTCGGGGAGTCCGGCAGGCTTCATCCGCGCTCCCTGGACACGGCAGAAGCTCCCCGGGCTGCTGCCCCGGGCCAGCAGCTCCGCCGGGCTGAGCCGGCCCTGCCCGTCCCCCCGGGCTCCTGCCCGTCCCCCCGGGCTGCTGCCCGTCCCCCCGGGCTCCTGCCCGTCCCCCCGGGCT